GTATCAGTGCTTCTTCTTTTCTAAAATGGCCATTTTATCTTTTACTACCTTATCATTTTATTGTATTCCTTAGAATCCTTGGACTGAGTTTCCATGAATTCTTTTTAATCTACATTCTAAATTCTATATCTAGAATTAGGTTATTACTGATATATGCAGATTTGACCTGGTCATTGAGTTTGGCCAGTGACCTGAGAACCGTTTAATCCTGATTATGAACCATTGTTGGAAAACTAGTACAGTTGTTTGGAGGTAAAAAGTCTATCTTTCTGAGTTCTCCGAGTTCTTGCACTTGCTCTTTCCTCATGTTTGAGTTGATGTTTCTTCAATCTTTAAAATTGCTTTCTTTGGATACTTTCTTCTTTTATTTGATTTCGTCATGGGTTTAATTGTGGTAAAAGGTGGATTCAGTTTACTGACTTTGTTTCTGTAAACATTAGAAGGCTACAGCTCAGCTCAGCACTCCTGGGCAGTGTGTTCTAATTCTGGAGAGCTGGTATCCTGGCCCTTGAGGTTAGAAACCTGCTGTACTGGTGGGCTAAAGTGTTTTTGGGCCACAGGCCACAACACTCTGATGTGTGCTGCCAGCCAAAGCACTTCATTAGACAGGGGCCAGCTGGAACTCTCGATGGCCAGGCACTGTTTGCCACTGCAGAAGTTTTAATGCAGGCCCCCGGGAGGAAGCCCATTTGGGAAGCCAATGCCATACTGTAAGCATCCATCACTGGATAGGCTGGTCCCAAGAAGAGACCAGCAGACAGGGGTCACTCAGGTTAGACTGGCCCATCTCCCAGGAAAGGATACCCTGCTCTGTTAAGGTCTGACAGTTCCCCTAAAACAAAAGTCTCCTAGGGTAGTAAGGGAAGCCTTCAGCTATGGGCATTCCTAGCTGTGCTCCATCACAGACACTCCTACAATAAACCCTCTGCTTTCTGCACAGGCTAGAGTCCTGCCCCAACACATCTCCAACCAGCTATCCCTGCTAGCTCAAGTGTCCATGGGGGTCATGGGTCCTCTGCTGCCATGATTCCAGAGGTCCATGGTGAGAGTGGGTTGCTCCTTGCCTGCTCATCTTACCTCTTCCCCAGGAGTCATTCTGGCCAGGAAGAAGTTCCTGTGCATGGTAGCCCCATGCAGAGTACCCATCTTCTTCACCCTCCATACTAGCATGTGTGTTCTTCCTCCATCCACTCTCAATGCCTCCCCTCAGATGATATATTCAGAGTGCACCAGTCTTCCCAGTGTCTCAGTCTCCTGGTAGCAGATATTCCTCATGGCTGCATCTACTCAGCCACCTTAGAAACTATCATTTACTTTATGAAATACACATGTATTTTTTTCTTATAACTTGCTTTTGGCCATTTATTACTTCTTTCTACCTTTAATTGAGGGACATAAACAAGTAAGAGTTGAAAATCCAGTCAGCCTGACAATGTTTTGGGAAAAATACTTAATATAGAGAATAAAATGAGCAATTAAGGCTTTGTAATTATTTAACTTTGCTGTTGCTATCCTCCTTTAGAAAGTCATGTATAGGGGAGTTTAAGATGACAGACAAGAAGCAGCTAGTATACACTGCTCTCATGGAGATGAAACAAAGTGGTAAGTAAATACTGGTTCTTTCTTCAAATGGATTGCCAAGGAGATCCCATGAAGATTCACAAAGGAAGCAACAGGACAAACAAAGAACAAAGAGGAGTGAAGCCAGGCAGCTTCCCACCCATAACTGATGTGGAGTTCAGATATTTTATGGTGTCCGAATTCTTATGCTGGTTCCTGCTCATCTGGAGAAAAATGGGTAGGTCTTTTGGCTTTGCTTCTATTACCTTATGCACTTCTTTGGACTGGTTTTATATTGAGCTGTACAAGCTGATTGACGGTGCTGTCAGGTGAGAGCCAGTTGCAACACAAGCAGGTAGGTATGTACCTGATCTTTGTTTATGTTTTGCTTTCTGTTGTTTCAAGTGAAGGACTGGACATTGGAGTACCTGGTGCCCTAAGCTTCCTGTTCTGTGGGGTTGGAGGGACACAGCTGTGTCAAGCTGAAGCCCTTTGCTTTCTCACAAATACCCAAATGGCAAACACAGGCATCTGCCCTAATGAGGATTATTGGTAGGAGTTCCTTGTGAAGTTCACTGAAGACTGTGCAGGGAGTTGAGGTGACTGCACCAGCTTCCTGTCCTACATAGGCAAGCACTTGATTTGTTTTCCTATTACACAACTGTTCCAGAACTTATGACTCCTAGTTTAGATTCATATTCTAGTCTATCTCCGGACTATAATGAGTTTGAGAGCCACAATAAATGCCTTTTTTGTGACTCTCTGTGGGAGTGGTTTCAAGGCATGATTTCATCTCTGAACTAGATAGATACAGTTTTATGGCTCACCTCTTTGCTAGTGTGACAGTCCTGCTGCTGCTTATAAATGGTGTATGGGGGGGCTCCACCTTTGGGCCTACGTAAGAGGGTTTTGGCAGCTGGTTAGGTCAGCCTGACTTCAGGCCTTGGGGAAGTGATCAGGTGCCAGTAGAGTTGGAACAGCGTAAGTAGGGTAGGTAGCTGGTTCCCAGGCCACTATATGGCTGGCAGAACAGTGGGTATGAGTACTGAAGGGCCTGTGTAAACAGTGCCACAATAAACATATGTGTGCATGTGTCTTCATAATAGAATGATTTATAATCTTTCGGGTATATACCCAGTAATGGAATAGCTAGGTCAAATGGTACTTGTAGTTGTAGATCCTTGAGGAATCATCACACTGTCTTCCACAATGGTTGAACTAATTCACACTCCCACCAACAGTGTAAAACCGTTCCTATTTCTTCACATCCTCTCCAGCATATGATGTTTTCTGATTTTTTAATGATTGTCATTCTAAGTGACATGAGATGGTATCTCAATGTGGTTTTGATTTGCATTTCTCTGATGACTAGTGAAGATGAGCTTTTTTTCATGGTTACTGGCTGCATAAATATCTTATTTTGAGAAGTGTCTGTTCATATCCTTTGTCCACTTTTTGATGGGGTTTTTCTTGTAAATTTGTTTAAGTTCTTTGTAGATTCCGGATATTAGCTCTTTGTCAGATGGGTAGCTTTGAAAAACTTTTTCCCATTCCATTGGTTGCCGGTTCACTCTAATGACAGTTTCTTTTGCTGTGCAGAAGCTCTTTAGTTTAATTAGATCACATTTGTCTATTTTGGCTTTTGTTGCCATTGCTTTTGTGTTTTAGTTATGAAGTCCTTGCCCATGCCTATGTCCTGAATGGTATTACCCAGGTTTTCTTCTAGGGTTTTTATGGTTTTAGGTCTTATGTTTAAATCTTTAATCCATTTGGAATTAATTTTTGTATAAGGTGTAAGGAATGAATTCAGTTTCAGCTTTCTGCATACAGCTAGCCAGTTTTCCCAACATCATTTATTAAATAGGGAATCCTTTCCCCATAGCTTTTGTCAGGTTTGTCACAGGGGGTTTTAAAGGAAGACTTAGCACAAGCCAAGGAGTCTAATCATTAAGTACATCTTGTCTGTTCTCTAATGAGGCTTTGAGAATTAATTAAATAACTTCTAATTTTTTGTTAGAAAAAGTTACTGAAAATCAAAACCCAGAAAAAGTCAAATTATGGTTTGTATGTATAAGATCTATCAAAAGACACATCCATCATATCGATCAGAGGTGGGAACATTCAGATCACATAAGTAGAAACAGAAATTAAGAGAAGTGGGGATATACAATGTTATCATTTTATTTGTCCATTTTTAAAAGCCTCTTATCCTTTTCTTAAAGGCCCTGTATTAAAGCATGCTTGATTTCATAAAATCATTGTAGCTGGACTACGCACTCTGAGTAAATAGTTAATAGAACAGCCATAAAAGAATAGGCTAAATGAAAAAATATGGGTAGCAGAAACAGCTGCTTTTGTGCTCTTTAGACAATTTAATTGCAACATGCCTAATCATTAACTTTTTTTGCAGATAAGAACAATTTCAATATTAGCAGAGAAAATCCTAGTCAACCTGTCAGAACATCACTGTTTCATAACAATTTAAGAATCACTGTCTTAAAAGAATAAAGGTCTGATCAACGTCTTCATTTGATAGACAACCCAGCTGTCAGCCTGAGTGGTTGAGTGGCTTCCTGAGATCACCCAGGTAATCAGAAGCAGATTCTGGACAAGAAGCCAAGTCTACTTATTCTCAGTCTACTATTAGTAGTTTCTTTTTATCACACTTTACAAATGTGTTTATGAGTAAGCAAGATAGGACAAGATTAAATATAAATATTTGGCAAATGTGTGAACTTAGGCTTATTTATATTTTCATCGTGAAAGATAACAACTTTTTATTTGAGGTATGGCTTACTCGTGAAAACATTTACAAACTCCAAAATATTTACTATGATTTCTGATTTACAAATTGCTAATGAAACAAAGCATTTGAATAAGGCTTGCGTTTTGAAATGCTAAATGTTAAACCTAAAATTACCTAATGAGATTCCTACCATCTTCATTTCACACTTATTTGAACCCATCCTATCCATCAGTTATTACAACAGAAAAACATGGCAAGCATTTGATTCATAATTTTATGTACTATACTTTACCGTAACAGGTGCATAGTCCTTAGGCATAACATAACTTATAAAGTTCTCTTAAATGGATCGAGATTATAAAGCAAAAAGAAAAATCATAAATAATTTTGTAGGTAAACAGAAAAAAGACAAAAACATACATAGAATAAGTCAATAGTTTTCAAATTATTAATACGCCAGCAAAGTACCTATAATCACTAAGGAGATTATATAAGACCTTGATGCAAGGGAATACAGTATTTTGGGGGATTAATAAGAGCCTAACTTTAAAAATATTACTAATGCTTCACACCAAACAACTTTGCTTTCAAATGTATCAAAATATATTCTTATATAGGTTTAAATAAAATAACTATTGTTTCAATTTCATTCACTTTAAAAATAATTAGCATAACCATAAATTTCAATGCTTACCTGAAGGAATGCATCCTTTCGACCTAGAGGTATGCTCATGAAAAGTGTCACATAACTTTCTGAAATTCTGTCAAATAAGCAATCTTGGTTTTCTCTATCAGGCTTTAAAAAAGTGTGAAATTAAAGTCAATATTACAATTTAAAACTGGAATTTGTTTACATGATGTCAGCAATTTTATTTATTTATTCTTATGAGCACATCAGTTGGTATAGGAGTATCAGCATGGGTGGCTTGTGGCATAATGTAGACCCAAATTTTAATACTGGCTGTTATATATTAGCTGTATTATCCTGGGCTAGTTAATTAAGTGCCAGGTTTCTCATCTGCCAAATATAGGTAATACATATTTATCTTAAAGGAGTGTAGCAAAATTAAGTAAGAACAGAGATCATATTTTTGTAACTTTGTATTTCAAAGCCTTAGCACAGTACCTGGCAATGAAAAGCATGCAAACATTTTATGAGTTAATTGTCCTTGCATTCCAGGAATAAATCCCACTGGTTATGGTGTATAATCCTTTTAATATGCTGTTGACTTTGATTTGCTAGTATTTTGTTGAGGATTTTTATGTCAATACTCATCATAAAAGATATTGGTAGCTTCTATTTTATTTTTATTGTAGTGTCTTTTTTGGGTTTTAGTTTTAGAGCAATACCTTCTAACTCATAGGTTGAGTTACAAAGTATTTCCTCCTTTTCAACTTTCTGGAAGAGCTTCAGAAAAACTGGTGTTTATTTTTAAATGCTGGTAGCCTTCAACAGTGAAGCCCTCTGTTACAGGGCTTTTCTTTGATGGGAGGTTTTTGATTACGGATTCAATCTCCCATTTATATTGTCTATTTCTTTCTTATTCCATCTTGTTAGATCGTATGTTTCCAAGAATTTGCCTGTTTTAACAGCATTATTCCAACTCGTTGGCATATATCTGTTTATAACATGCTCTTATAATCCTTTTTACTTTCATAAATTGATATTCTCCCCAATTTCATTTAAAATTTTAGTATAGTCTTCACTATTTTTTAATAGTAATTCTAGCTAAAGGTTTGTCCATTTTGTTCTTCTCAGAGACAGACTTCTAGTTTTATTTATTATTATTTTTTATCACAAAGCAATTTATTTCTTTACAAAATGGATCTGATTTGCAAAGGGGTTTACCTCATGCACATTTATAAAGCAAGCTTCTTCATTACAGCATTTCCTTGGGGCACACTTGCACACTTTTTTTTAATTGTAATTTAGGTTCTGGGATACATGTGCAGATCATGCAGGATTGTTGCATAGGTACATACATGGCAAGACAGTTTGCTGCCTGCATCCCCCCATCATCTATATCTGGTATTTCTGCCCAAAGAAATAACCCTCCGTACCCGTTATCCCTCCCCTACCCCCCACCACTGTGTGATGCTCCCCTCCCTGTGTCCACATGTTCTAATTGTTAACACCTGCCTATGAGTGATAACATACGGTGTTTGGTGTTCTGTTCTTGCATCAGTTTGCTGAGAATGATGGTTTCCAGATTCATCCATGTCCCTATGAAGGACACGAACTCATTGTTTTTTATGGCTGCATAGTATTCTATTGTGTATATGTGCCACATTTTCCCTGTCCAGTCTATCATTGATGGCCATTTGGGTTGGTTCCAGTCTCTGCTATTGTAAACAGTGCTACAATGAACATACGTATGCATGTGTCATTATAATAGAACAATTTATAATTCTCTGGGTATATACCCACTAATGGAATTGCTGGGTCAAATGGTATTGCTATTTCTAGGTCCTTGAGGAATCAACACACTGTCTTCCACAGTGGTTGAACTAATTTACACTCCCACCAACAGTGTAAAAGTATTCCTATTTCTCCATATCCTTTCCAGCATCTTTTGTCTCCAGATCTTTTAATGATCGCCATTATAAGTGGTGTGAGATGGTATCTCAATGTGGTTTGATTTGGATTTCTCTAATGACCAGTGATGATGAGCATTTTTTCATATGTTTGTTGGCCTCATTGATGTCTTCTTTTGTAAAGTGTCTGTTCATTTCCTTCACCCATTTTTGAATGGGTTTGCTTTTTTCTTGTAAATCTGATTTAGTTCTTTGTAGATTCTGGATATTAACCCTGTGTCAGATGGATAGATTGCAAAAATTTTTTCCCATTCTGTTGGTTCCTGGTTCACTCTAATGATTGTTTCCTTTGCTTTACAGAAGCTCTGGAGTTTAATTAGATCCCCTTTGTCTATTTTGGCTTTTGTTGCAAATGCTTTTGGTGTTTTAGCCATGAAGTCCTTGCCTATGCCTATGTCCTGAATGGTTTTGCCTAGATTTTCTTTTAGAATTTTTATGCAGTTAGGTCTTATACTTAGATTTTTTAATCCATCTGGAGTTAATTTTAGTGTAAGGTGTCAGGAAGGGATCCAGTTTTTGCTTTCTGCACATGGCTAGCCAGTTTACCCAACACCATTTATTAAACAGGGAATCCTTTCCCCATTGCTTTCCTCAGGTTTGTCAAAGATAAAATGATTGTAGATGTGTGGTATTGCCTCTGAGGCCTCTGTTCTGTTCCATTGGTCTATGTCTCTGTTTTGGTACCAGTGCAATGCTGTTTTGATTACTGTGGCCTTGTAGTATAGTTTGAAGTTAGGCAGTGTGATGCCTCCAGCTTTCTTATTTTTGCTTAGGATTGTTTTGGCTCTGCAGGCTCTCTTTTGGTTCCATATGAAGTTTGAAGTGTTTTTTTCCAGTTCTGTGAAGAAGGTCATTGGTAGTTTGATGGGGACAGCATTCAATCAATAAATTACTTTGGGCAGTATGGCCATTTTCATGATGTTGATTCTTCCCAACCATGAGCATGGGATGTTTTTTCCATTTGTTTGTGTCCTCTCTTACTTCATTGAGCAGTGGTTTGTAGTTCTCCTTGAAGAGGTCCTTTACATCTTTTGTTAGCTGTATTCCTAGGTATTTTATTCTCTTGATAGCAATTGTGAATGGGAGTTAACTTTTGATTTTGCTCTCTGTCTGTTATTGGTGTATAGAAATGCTTGTGATTTCTGCACACTGATTTTTGTATCCCGAGACTTTGCTGAAGCTGCTTATCAGTTTTAGGAGATTTTGGGCTGAGATAATGGGCTCTTCTAAATATACAATCAGGTCATCTGTGAATAGAGACAATTTTACTTTCTCTCTTCCTATTTGAATACCGTTTATTTCTTTCTCTTGCCTGACTGCCCTGGCTAGAACTTCCAATACTATATTGAATAGGAGGGGTGAGAGAGGGCATCCTTGTCTTGTGCCAGATTTCAAAGGGAATGCTTCCAGTTTTTGCCCATTCAGGTTTTTCTATTCTTTATTTCATTTCTCTCTGCTGCAATACTTATTATTTCCTTCCTTCTGTTAACTTCGGATTTAATTTGTTCTTTTTCCAGTTTCTTTTTCTTTTTTTATTGTATGTTAAGTTCTTCAAAGCATGGGCAAATCTTGCAGGATTGTTATATAGGTATACACATGCCATGGTGTTTTGCTGCCTCCATCCCCCCATCACCTACATTAGGTATTTCTCCTGTTACCCTTCCCAACTTCCCCACCCGCTGCTATTGTACCCCTAGTCCCCCACCCCCCAACAGACCCCAGTATGTGATGTTCCTCTCCCTGTGTCCATGTGTTCTCATTGTTAAACACCCACTTATGAGTAAAAATATGTAGTGTTTTGTTTTCTGTTCTTGTGTCAGTTTGCTAAGAATGATGGTTTCCAGATTCATCCATGCCCTGCAAGGGACACGAACTTCTCCTTTTTTATGGCTGCATAGTATTCCATGGTGTATATGTGCCACATTTTCTTTATCCAGTCTATCCTTGATGGGCACTTGGGCTGGTTCCAAGTCTTCGCTTTTGTAAACAGTGCTGCAATGAGCATACATATGCATCTGTCTTTATAATAAACAATTTATAATCCTTTGCATATATACCCAGTAATGGGATTGCTGGGTCAAATGGTATTTCTATCTCTAGGTCCTTGAGGAATTGTCACACTGTCTTCCACAATGGTTGAACTAATTGACACTCCCACCAACAGTATTAAAGTGTTCTCATTTCTTCACATCCTCTCCAGCATCTGTCTCCAGATTTTTTAATAATTGCCATTTTAATTGGTGTGAGATGGTATCTCAATGTGGTTTAATTCGCATTTCTCTAATGACCTTGGTCATATCCTTTTCCCAGTTTTTGATGGGGCTTTTTCTTGTCAATTTGCTTTAGTTCCTAGTAGATTCTGGATATTAGCCCTTTTTCAGATGAGTAGCTTTCAAATATTTTTTCCCATTCTATTCATTCTGTTGGTTGCCAGTTCATGCTAATGATTGTGCATTTCGCTGTGCAGAAGTTTGTAAGTTGTTTGCTTCTGCTGTGCTGAAGCTTTTTAGATCCCATTTGTCTATTTTAGCTTTTGTTCTGTTTCCAGTTTCTTAATGTATAAGACTGTGTGGTTGATTTGAGAGCTTCCTTTAATTTTTAATATTTCATTGTTTTTTATTTATAAATCAGAATTGTATTTATTTACAGAGTACAATGTGTCATTTTGATATAGGTACACAATGTATCCATCCTCTCAGTTACTTATAATTTGTTAAGGAGAGACATTTAAAATTTACATTCTTAGCAATTTTGAAGCACACAATATGGTACTGTTAACTATTGTGACCATGTTGTTCAATGAATCTCAATGAATTCCTCTAGCTGGGCATGGTGGCTCAACCCTGTAATCCCAGCACTTTGGGAGGCCAAGGTGGGCAAATCAAGAGGTCAAGAGATGGAGACCACCCTAGCCAACATGGTGAAACCCATCTCTACCAAAAATAAAAAAATTAGCTGGGAGTGGTGGCGCACACCTGTAGTCCCAGCTACTTGGTAGGCTGAGGCAGGAGAATTGCTTAAATCTGGGAGGCAGAGGTTGCAGTGAGCCAAGAAGGTGCCATTGAACTCCAGCCTGGCAATAGAGTAAGACTCCATCTCAAAGGAAAAAAAAAGTTATTCCTCCTGTCTCACTGAAACCCTTTACCCTTTTAACATCTCCCCATTCCTAGCTTCCAGCCCAGCCTTCATTACTACTGCTCT